CCTCAATCCGTGACGGGCGTCGAGCTGGTAAGACGCCCGTCACGGATTGAGGGAGGTCCCAGGTTCGAATCCTGGTTGGGGTAATATTTTTCGCAATAAGAATTTTAATTGCCAGATACGGTCAATAAAAATCATTGATGTTGCTAATACATTAAATTAAAATTAGCTAATTATAGAAAATTAAAGTATTTTTACAAGATTAATATTATTGTGCGTGGAAATGATCGGTGTAATTTTGTATTGTCTAAAAGACCTGTTCATTTTTCACATCTTTTTAGATTATTTGAGAGGGATATAAATATTTAACCAAATTATTAATTATTACCCAAAACACTGATCTTCACCTAGTTAACCCTGAAAAGTTCCTTCAGTAAGAATAAAAATGACATAAAGTAATTCAGCATTTATTGATTCACACCTCGATGTTTTCTTATTATATCATTTATAATAATCATTATCGTCAGAGAATCATTGTAATAATAATTAATAATAATAATAATAAATCGTTATTTCGAATTATTGTACATCGATATATTATCTCATATAATATCTATATCTCATATATATATGTTCTATATTATAATATTTATATTTATATATTTATAGACTTCTCTATTCTGCTTCCCAATTAGAGAATAGATTTTTAAAACTCTCTATACTTTTATCACCTGCCGAGAGAAATTCTGGCAACAAGAAATCGAGAATACTTGCTTAAAAAGGAAACACACCTTCATCGAACATTGTTAATTATTTTTAACAATTTTTCCTAATTTGCCGAAAAAACTTGCCGTGTCCATCGAAAATTATAATATGAAAATCAATCAATTTATTAAAAGTTAGCCTCAAAATTAACTTTCGATATCAATTATCATTAATGGCGCATAATTTGCGTTCAAATTCAATCAATTTAATTAAAATTGTAGTTTCTAATTATTAAATAATTATCAATGATACATAAAAAATAGCTGATTTTTATCAATAATAACTAATATCGAAAATTAATGAAAAATAGGTTCCTTACTTTCGTGTCTTTTTTTACGCAGAAGCCAGCGTTATCGCATTTTTGTCATAAAAATAATTTACATTATTACTTTAAATCCATAGTATAGATCCATAACTTGTAAAATTTATTCTAAAAATGCAATTTCGTATTTACAATAGGTTTTGTAAGTCACGCTTATGCTGTATCAATGTAATATTAACATTGACACTGATAGCGATAAACCTAGCTTCTGCAGCTTTCGCAGACAGGACACTGTGGATTTGACCTATGCCTGTTATTCCTCTCGAAAATTAGGGATCTAGAAACCGATATAATTTCGGTGAATTCAATGAAAGGCTTTATAAAAAAAAACATAGCCTCTGTCGAAAGTACATTTTTTCCGGTAAAGAAAAATATTTAATTTATTTACATAATCCACAATTTATTTGTAATAAATTAATGATTAATAGATATAATTAGGTCAAAATACTTTGTGATTTAAATCGTAGTGGAAAAAGTCTTATCATTTTTTTAATAAATTAATTGAATATCGTATATATTGAAAAAGCACTGGTTCGTATATTAACAAATGCAAGACAGGTCTGAATTCGAACCGTAACGCAGAATGTTGGAGCAATGAGCGATTGCTTGCAGGAATATCTCGACTTTATTTCTGGCATTGTACAATAGATTAAAAATGACTTAAAATAAAGTCTCGAAATGTTCCTGGAATTCATATAGACCTATGTACAATTTTTCTTCCAATATTCCGCGCTATACTTCGGACTTGTACCTCGAATTCAAATTGTTTAGTGACTATTTAAAACCTTTATCTTTCTTTTCAAATTTCTATACAGCTATACAGGATATGGAAGGATTAAGTGTGACATGATTGGAAAAAGGGATAATACTTCGCGTAAAGATAAAACGAAAATAATAAGTCGAAATTAATAATAATAATACAACCTTTTTCATATCACATCATGTTCAAAATGTTACATTTTATATTATTTCATAAAGAGCTTTATTTTTCTTCAATTCCGAAATCTATTTCGAAAATTGATAAATCGAAATCCGACAGAATTACACCGGTTTCTTGATCTGATTTTGATCCTTTCCAGCCTTTTTCATTTATTTTCATCACATGACTTCCAACCGCGCATTAATTGATAATTAAGAAAGAAAGAAAAACGCGATGTGGTGCTATATGCAAAAGGACTAGACGCTACATTGTTGTTATAGAAATTAAATAGTAAGAAACGAAGACTATTATTATTACGTCGAAAAAACGAAGAAGTATTTCCGAAGAAACGTTTCTAGCGATTTTTGTACTTTTTTGATTAAAGATTTGTTACAATCGCTTGTTCTCTCGCTAGAATGCGTCGTTAGATGTGTGAGTGCGTGTGTGTGTATCGGCTGTTCGATAATAATCCTAACGCTTAAACGTATGTGCTACTCATCTCTTTAATTCCTTCCTCATCATTTTTTATAAAAGTTTGTATAGTGTTATATATAATATTCAACACGATTGTGAACCACACTTACGCGGAAAATTTAATATATTATTATTACTAGATAATAATATATTACACCCCTCGCATAAAAATTAAACCTTTTTTTTCTTTACAGAGCAAAAAGCACAGTTTTTCACAAGTCCGTTAGCTATATTTTTTTTCCTATTAACATACCATTGGAGATAAACGCTCTAGATCCGCGCGATTTCAATCATTAAAAAGGGACAAATCGTTGTTCGTTTGTGTTCTGCTGCTTGATTTCCTTAACGCAGCTCTAAGTAATAACAAGTGAAACGACTTAAAGACGATTATACACGGAATTTGTTGATTTTTCTATATTACTATCTTGAAGGATTGCGTCTCGGGAATGTCGGAACATGTCATTAGATAAGATGTTCTGTATCTTTAATGACAGATTTTATAGCCAACAAAAAGTTATTTCTAATTTATTTTAAATACATTCAAGTAAAAATTTATACTTAAATATTTTTCCTGAAAAAGAGCATTAACTCTCCAAAAATAAAAACAATCTTTTACACCAAATTTTAATTCAAAATTTCCTTATTTTTAGTTCAAAGTTTAACTGTATTAGTTAAATAAAATTGAGGATAAGAAACTTGCAATCGACGATCAATATTTAAATTAATTTTTAAGTGATTATATCTTGAAAGTCATTATTCAAAAAGGTTATTAAGATGTAAGTTTTCTTCCTTTTTAGAAAAGAAAAATCAACTAAAAAGTCTGCCATTAAATCACACTTGTTTTGTTTGCCATTATGGAACGCGACAAACGAACGCTCCGAACGTTTCCGCACAATTCCGCAATAAATTGCGAGAGAAAAAGTTTTTTATTCTTTTCCCCCTCCGAGACTATATTTTTACAAACTATCTGTGAAAAAATGTTATTTTCAATAGCCTAACAATTAAATTTCTATTATTATGCAAAACGATTCGACAATGTGTAACAAACGACAATGTTTCCCCACTTTCGCTCACCGTCACTGGCAATGAATTGTATAACACTTATACGTATTGTTTAAACATTTCCATACTTATATATATATATATATATATAATATATCCAACATTCCCTTTTCCATATCCATAAATTAAATTCCTATTTTCTTTCCATGTTTTATCACAATAAAATAATTTTTTCTGCAAGAAAAGATTTTTGCAACAAACTAGCATTGTTTCGCTATGTCATAACTGAACACTTGTGAAAATGTATAGGCAATTTAATTATAGGATTTGTACAATGATAATAACTCAATAATTGAAGTAGCACTATGTAGTTTGATACACAATTTGTAAATCCTATTTCAAACCTTACAATGTTTGCTTGCAAAATGATCCATAGCAATGTGACAGTATTTTCAATTTCTCTAATCATACATTGCCAGTGTATGGACGTAGTAGTTTCTCTGTATCGAGTTATTCATAAAAGTACGGCGTTCACGTATTTCGTTTTATAATACTAACCATTATATAATTTTCGGTCGAGAATCAACTTGTGAAATGGAGATGCTTCTCATGTCAGTCGCAACACTTCTCTCTTAAAATTACTGCATTACTCATCTTCGGTATCACCGTCGCTACTATAATCCTGCAATGTGGGTGGTCTCGAGAAGGGTGCCTCGTTGGTTTGACTGCAACATGGAGAAAAAGACGAAATTCTTTATTATCAAATATTATCATTCATTGTAATCGAAATCGCTTTATATACTTTATATCAGAGTTTTGTTTTATGTTTTAAACTGCTGCTATATTAAGATTCCTCAATGGAGCTCAAGGAAATTCAAATTTACTTACGCCAATCTACGATAATGGTTCAACCACTCTTCCAACATCTGCGCAACGAGCAGCGGTCTTTTGTGGAGTTTCTGCTGTGCTACTAGAATTCCACCCTCGGTTCTGCATACGTCTAACCACTCTTTATAGATGGACTCCTCGCGACCGATCTCATCCGTCGTGAGAAAGTGTATTGGCAGGAGCTTATGCTCACGATCCATTAGTGGCATAAAGGTGGTCTGCATCTGGATTTGTAGCTGCTCGAGTGGACTGTTGTTTCCACTCACTACCCCGTGGGTTGCGAGGGGCGGTATTCTGGACGAAGCGTACGGCTCGATTGGAACCAGTGCCGTGAAATGGCCACGGGTATAGCCCAATGCGATTGGCGAACGGATGCAAAATGAAGGTTCCCATAATAGTGGTAGATAGACGCCCTCAAATCTCGCATATCCTACAAAGTGACAGAAATACTTGATATTACTCTAAATTTTAAAAAACCTTTTAAAAAGTGCTTTTTTTTTAAATCGTAAAAGACTTTAATACTTTTAAAGAATCATAGAAATGTTAATTCTTGAATTAATCTTGAAAAAAAATCTCTATAGTTTTGAAGAAAACAAATGTTACGTGTGTGAGCAAGAATGAGTATTTCTTAAAATTTACCTATGTCTTCACCGCGGAAACTTTTAACGTATTTAACTCCATAGACTATAATAGGTCGTCTTAAAATGTGGGCAAGGGCAAACACATGTAATTGTTCTAACGCGCTTCCGGGTTGAGCAGCCGTTGCCAGCAAGCTTTCCCAATCTTCTTGCCACTGCGTCTCTTCTAAAGTGAAATCTAACATCCTAGATGCTTGCGAGGCTTCATACTCTCTCCAACGAGGATAAAAGCTGAAAAAAATGAGGTACTTTTTAACTAGAATTTGAATACGTGTACAGAAGTACATTTATATTGAATTGATTAAATTAGTTATGTTAAAATATGAAACGTAAATTATTTACTTATTTATTTAATCACAAATCTTACAATTGCCCCGCTTGTTGTAGGGTGTCAGCGAGCGCTCTCCTGAGAGCATTGTCCCTATCGAAAACACCCCAAGTGGCCTGCATAGCAGAATCCAGAAGACAATCACCGGCCGAGCGGTTCCAGAGTGCGTGTAAACGACTACCTAATCGTTCAGTAATTTCTAAAGACCAATTTAGAGCTGGCGGTTCGCCACCACCGCCTTCCAATTGCTGTTGAGCTTCCTTATCTAACAATTCCTCTAGCATCTGCTCTTGTACAATGCTCGGCAGATCCTCAACCTAAAAATATATATCCAATTTCAAACATTAAAAGGTATATACAGGTACGCGTGCACACGCAAATATTTTTACACAATCTCTTCGGTAAGTTATAATACATTGCAAATAAAAGTTAAATATTTAAAGAGTTTAAAGATCATTTATTACTCGTGTAAAAGTGGAACGTTGATGAGATTAAAGCATTTACTTTTCATCTATTTTACATTAAAGTCATAATATGTATATGTATATGTATATCACCTCGGCTGGCAACGCAAAGGTGGCCATGTCGGTAACAAAATAACAGGGAAACGAGCCCTTGCGTAAGCGTATACTATTGGTGACATGTCGGCGAATCTGTACCGCGAGATCAGGTGCGACGTAACTCGGTACCCTTTTCACTCCCGAGCCCGAACCTTCAATTTGAGATAGTAACGTTGCTAAGATATCTTCCCTTTGAAACCTGTAAAGGTCCCAATGAAAAATTGTATTAATCTATTAACGTTGAGAAGTGTAGCTTGTACAACAATATCAATTTGTAGAAACGTTGGTTTAAATTATTTGCGTTTACCTAATAGCCAAGTGCACCAAAGTGTGCCCAACGTCAAACGCGCTGCTTCTATTGAGGAGCAAGACCTCAGAATGCGTCAATTGGCGGGCAGGATCGCCGCCGCTCGCCAGGTAAGCTTCAACAGGAGTGTTGTCACCTTCGACAATACCGAGACAAGCGTTGAGCCAGCACCAATCGGTGTGGCGTCTCAACTGCTTCAATCGACGCTCGTAATCACAGTTATTTGGAGATTGAGGAGTTGACAAACTATCGTTACGGCTCTCCGTATATCTATGTGGACCTCTGAAAAGTTAGAGACAGTTACAAAGTGTTATAGACGCGCGTTGTAAAATATTAGTAGAGAAATACAACGCACATTTGTAAATAACAAGCATATAGTCAGAAATTAGATTTACCTGAAACATGAGAATTGTTCATGCCGTTCGCAGTTGGCGAAAGGTATGAAATACAAAGAGTGTGTAAATTTTGCAAAAATTACCTCCTTCCTATCGCTAAATTATCCTCTCTCTGCGTCTGATGAATATAAGGTGCGTGTGGGGGCGATGGCAAACCCCGCTGACTGTGTTCCCTCTCGGGACTCGGTAAAATCACCCCTACGTTTCCCTGCGTACCCTTGTCCCTTCTATCCTTCTCCTTCAGGTGGCCGCACATGACGCATTTGGTCGCCTTGGGCCAGTTCTCGTAAGTACACACGTGACAGGACCATTTCTCTGGGTGCATATTGTACAATCTTTCCGGATGGAGATTAATTGGCGAGGGATTCAGTTGGGAATTTGATCCCGAGTTGGGTGGTCCATCGGCTAGTCGCAGCGGCGCTAAATGTTCATGTAGATTCGATGCTAATGAATTGACAGACTGATTGACCGGCTTCCGGTTGCTGCACTGTACGCACCGCGTTGTATTCTGATAATTAAGATAAGTGCACATACTGCAGGCCCACTTCCCCGCCGAAGGCAGATTCTGGCTGTAATTTTGCGAGGTAAAGTTGTCCGTGGGGCTTATCTGGGAGACGGGGCCGGAAGCGACGTTGGAGGAACCTCTTTGAGGGCTGGGGTCCCGAAGACGATAGATGTCCTCGCCCAGGAGAGGCTTGGCGCCCCTGCACATGGTGCATTTTAGAGAGGAGGGCCAATTCTCATAGGTGCAGTACTCGCAAGTCCATTTCTGCTCTGTCTCCTCGAGTCTGCTGGTCATCTTCAATGGATGGAGGAGTTGATCAATGGAGGTCTTGTTCTCGCCGCGGGGGATGCAGTACTACTCGAATGCGGAAGCAAGTGTTGAGTTGAAAAGTGACGCCCAAGTGTGCACTTGACATTAAATATCCTAAGTATCCTAGTTGAATTTCCTATGCCGCGCAGCGCATAGGTCTTTCGGGAGATTTGCGTCCAAGAGTGTGGTTTGTAGCCCGGTATACGCTATGTGACCAGCATTATGTCTGATTGTGATGAAACAGTGTCGCTAGAGATGTGCCGACGTGGCCATCAGTGGAAGAATCTGAAAACGGAAACGGCAATATGTCGATCAAGTGTATTATAGAAAATGTTAATATATGTCATGCGGCACGGTCTTGCTCCAGTTACATTATACGCGCATTTCTCGCGTTCAAAATGGGTTTAATATCTCCAAGTGTGCGAGGAGGAGAAAAAGGTGTTGAAAGAAGCCGAAATTATAAGAAACAAAGGGTGAAGCGTCGTCTACGATGCGTGGAGTAAACTTGGAGTGAGGAATAAGAGAGAGAACCATAACTTTTAGCTCTTGGTGTAAGGAAGCTAAAATACAGGTGTAATTCTTTTAAATAGGAGCAAGAAATAAAATTGATTTATGTCCTCACTCCATGCACTGTAGACGACGCATTGGAGTCTCTGCTGACGTTGATTTACTAGAATATCTTTATAGAGAGAAGTGAAGAGAAAAAAAAACCATCGGTTGATAAGCTGTTTATCTGAATTATTCTTCGCCCAGAGATCAAACTCCTGTGCTTTTTAGTTTAATATCAGTGACGTAATATCGTGAGTTTTCGAAAAGAATTTTACACCGCTTGTATTGACTCGCGTTGATTTGGTTTTGTGGTCAACACACTTTTGAGTCGCAACGCCCTGTAATTAAACTTGTAGCTCGTTGAATTCCTCGAAAAGGACCGCAACCCGTGCGGCCGGGACGTCGGATTAAAATAAAGAAACCACCTGCCAGCCTAAAGAAAGCGCGACTGGGAGTAAGAGCGAAGTTAAAGGTACAAAAGTCAGGCTCGTACATAACGAGATGCAGCTTGACAGATGTAAGGAACAGCTAAACGTGAATATTGGAATGCAAAGAGAGGGGGGGAGCTGTCTGTTCTCTCCAATTGCATTTTTCGCGCGCGTGTCACCTTCCCGTATCGAGCGTTCCCGCGGCTACGAAAACAGGTGGCAATACAGACACCGCGAGCGTTGAAAATTGGAACGCCTGCTTTTCAACCGCACTTGGCGAAATTGGAGAACACACGCGGCGTCGCGTGACCGATCTCTCCCGTATCCCTCCTTCGCGTCCTTGGAGGGGAAACCTAACCTGGCGGAACGGGAGGAGGTTCCGGGAGCCGAGCCTCCTCGACGGGGAAGAAAAATAATTGCCGGGGCAGAGAATCAGTCCGGGATCGAAAGCTCCGTGCTACTTTGCGGAAGAGAGGCGCGCGCCAAGTACCTCTGGTTGGGCTGGCGGTAACCTTGACGTTATCCCCGTGCCACCTTGTGGAGTCCCGCACGTCGCCAGCTACCGTCACACTCGGCTATCCTCCATGAGCGACCCCGCGGATCGGCACCGTCCAGTCGACTCATGTACTATTCATGCACCAGCGAGTTTTCGTGGCGCGCCGCTCGCGTTCGCGGCAACGGCCAGGTAGGCAGGTTAAGCTCGCTCGCTCGCTCGCTCGCTCGCACTCGCTCGCTCGCGCACGTATGCGCACGATCAATTCTCGCGAGCGCGACGCTCTCGCCCTTCCTCCTTTTCTTCCTTCGGGATTATTCGACGACGGCGACGACGACGACGAGGAATCGAAGCGCGGGACGTAGCGAGGAGAAAGACAACCGCGGCGACGTCTCTCTCCCACCTTCTCTCTATTTCCCCCTCTCTCTCCCCCTCCTCTCTCTCTCTCTCTCTGTCTCGACGGAGACACGGTAGAAGACACGAGAAGCGCGAGTCGCTGTCACCGCTGGTCACCGCGTCACGACATCGCCCGCGAGCGTTCGCGCGCGCTCCACGGCGTCTCCGCCCGTCGACCGATGCTGGCGTGCTGCTCCGCGAATGCGACGGCGACGGCGGGCGGCGGTGACGACGACAGCGGCGGCGGCGATCTCGCTCGCTGGCTGCGGAAGTAGGTTTTGACAGTCATCCGCAAACAGACGGGCGCCAGTACTGCCAACAGTGCCAACCACTCTCGCACGCTCCCCTCCCCGCCGGCCGCGTCGTTACGTCACGGGAGCGCGCGCGCGCCTGCGCCGCGGTTAACCTCAAAAGCTCCGCCGACCTCCCCCGCCCCCGCGACGAGACCGCGACCGATGAGTCGAGGGTCACTCTCTCCCTCTCTCTCTGCGTCGGTGAGCGAGACTTCGAGAGTTCGAGCGTCCCGACAGCCGGCGCTGGGCCACCTGATCCGAAACTCGTCGAGAACGCGCGTGTGGACGATCTAACCTAACTTTCGTTCTCGCCGTTTTCACGCTTCTCTCTCCCTTGGCGAGAATTGACGCGCGACAGCCCGACCGGGGGTGACCGGACACGATCGAGCGTGGAGTCGCTCGATCGTCGTCGGGGGGGGGGGGGCAAAAACCTGACCTAACCTCAACCTAGCTTCGTGCGTTCGCCGACAAACCGCAGGCAATCCCGCTGGAAAGGCAAGATACAGAGCAATTTTACCTGATCTTCCGTCATACGAATGGAGACGTCACCGTTGCCACGCGCACAGCTGACCCGTTGATCCCGTTACATGACGCAAGTCTGACCTAACCTCGAAATCGCGCTGCGACTCCGCGTACATACGATCGTGCTCCCTCATGACCTTCCCGTCTCGTCGCGGAACTAGAGCCGTTGAAATCGCGAGGCGGTTTTTCGCCCTCGGCGCCGCGCGCCTCAAGACATCCGCTCCCGGAGACCGGGACGAGCGACGGACGTCCGAGTCGACTCTTCGCGCGTACCCCAGCTCGATTCCGGTCCTCCGACGCCCGCGAATTAAATTTGGCGCGCGCGTCTTCGGAGCCGCGTGACTCCCGGCTTCGCTCGACGACCCTACGATGAGCCTCGCGCCGAAACCAGATCCGAGAGTCTCCCGCGAAAATCGAAGGGAAGGATGCATCGACCGGGCGAGACTTTTTATTTATAAATATCCCGGACCCGCTGCCAACTGGGAGCGCTCTGCCCGAGCGTTTTACCCTTGACATTTCGTCAACGTGATCGCGGGACTGCTCCCGCGTATCTGTCGGCCAGCTGTTGCAAACGCCACGGAAGGTTTTCCCCGCGTTGCTGCACGGTGCCCTCCACGTGTTAAATACGTCGCTTAACTTTTTCCACGTTTCCGCAGATCATTAAGCTAATACGACAACGAGACATAAATACAAAGAATGCGACTGATGTGACGAATATTAAGTCCCACTTGTTTGTTTTATCTTCGCGCACTTTCGATTTAATCTTGGTTTAATTCACGTTTGTCCCTTTCTAGAGTAACAGTCGGGAAGAGACAAAAAACGAATTAAGCCGAGCTTGAAGCTTGGTCGGTTTCATGTTCCACGTTTCCTCAGATCGTCATTAAGATAATGCAGCGACAGAACGTGAATACAAAGAATGCAACTGATGTGGCGAATATAAAGCTCTATTTGTTCGTTTTATTTTAGCGCACTTTGGATCGACGCAATTGAAGGATTCGGAGCGATTGAACGTCTTCGCCGAGTTCGCACTGAGCTAGTTGGATGTTACAGCTGCGACGCTGTCGATCGTCCCCGGAACCGTTTGAGGAAACAACGTTACGACCGTCCCTCTTCTCCCTTTCATTGCCAGGCGTTTTATTTTAAGTATACGAAGTGTATGCGGCTTGACAGCTAAAGAGAATGCACTGTATTGTCTGCTTGTAACGGCATCGCCGTTGAAATCAGCCAAGACACCTCGGTAACATTGACCGATGCCCGTCGCCGCCGATAAGCTTATCCAATCGCAACGTGACAGAATCGCGATGACGAAAATGGACGAAATGGTTATCCGGGTGCTGTACGGAAGCGAGACCGGAACCGCTCAAGACGTCGCCGAGCAGATCTGGAAGAGCGCCAAAAGGTTTTGTTGTCGTTCCTCTCTCTGGCACGCGTACCCTCTCCGCTAGGAAAATTTCTGGCACGCAAACCCCACTCTCTTTATGATCTTTAAACAGACATGATTCATTTTGGTGTATTCAATGTTTGTTATTTTTTGTATACATATAATTAGCTTCGCTATAAATGTGATCGTCTCTTCCTCAGCTGACAATATTCAGAGTAGATAAGTTGGAGAAAGATTCATACATTTTTGTCGTATCTCATATCTCGGCATTTATTTTATACATAGAGGAAAATCCCCTGTTTATGAGATAGGATCCTAATATGGGATCGTCGGTTGATGCCACCATCAATTTATTGCCCTCGGAGCGAAATCTGCTTAGTGGAAAATTCATTGTTCAATTGTGTAATTGTTGCGAAAAAAGATTTGTCGTTGAATTCGGGTGTTGAAAACCTGCTATCTCATAATAGAGGACTTTCTTGTAATAATTTTTCATTACACAAAGAAACAGAACGGAATATAATAATTCTTTTAATTTTGCAGAAAAGGATTGCGAAGCACCGTATCATCTTTGGATGACTACGACATTCATAATCTCCCTTCCGAACACCTAATCGTCTTCGTTGTCGCAACGACTGGACAAGGAGATCCTCCAGTCAACATGAAACAGTTCTGGCGACATTTGTTACGCAAGAACCTTCCAGCAACCGTGCTTCAAAATCTCAACTACGGCGTACTTGGATTGGGCGATAGTTCATATTCAAAATTCAACTTTGCTGCGAAGAAACTAAATAAACGCCTTGCACAATTAGGTGGCAAAGAGTTGCTGTCTATTGGACTTGCTGATGATCAGCACAATCTGGGAATTGATGCTGTGGTTGATCCCTGGATCAAAAAATTGTGGGAAGAGATTGTAAATGTGTTCGACATTTCGATAGAAGAGAAAGTAAATGAAGAAAATTTAATAATTGAGAGATATAGCGTTTCTGTAATAGAAATGAATCGATTAAATCCGATATGTATTGACAAACAGTATATAGACAGTCCGTATCAATCAAATACTGACATCTATGCACAAGAAACATCCATAAATAGCGATGTTAGAATAGGAATAATAGCTGAAAATATAAGAACTACCTCCGAGGATCACTTTCAAGATGTTAGATTGATAACAATCCAAGCGGATAATATTAAATACGATCCCGGAGACGTTATCTACATTAGACCAAAGAATACTGCAGAACAGGTAAAACGATTTTTCGATATATTACACGAACATGACATAAAACTGTTCCCAGATACAGTGATTCAAATATCGGAGAAAGAAATAAAGGTTCCGTTCGTTTTAAAACGAAATTTAACTTTAAGGGAGATCGTTGAGCAATACTGGGACCTGAACTTCAAGCCAAGAAGATCTACCATGTACACTTTATCTCTTATCAGCGAAAATGAATTGGAGAGAGAAAAACTGTGCGAATTTGCCAGTCCGATTGGGCAAGAAGAACTTTATGATTACATAAACAGACCGAGAAGAAATATTTTGGAAGTTCTCACAGATTTCCCTCACACGACCAGTAAAATGAACATTAAATTACTGTTTGAAATCATGTCGCCAATAAAGCCACGTCCTTACAGCATTGCCTCCAGCCTAGCAGCTACTCCAAACAGCATACAAGTCTTGGTAGCCGTAGTTAAATTTAAAACTAGATTGATAGAGCCAAGATTTGGGATATGTTCAAAGTGGCTGGCAAGTTTAAACAATAACGACAAGGTGATATTTTGGCTGCAGAAGGGAACTTTCCGATTTGATAACGACAAGCCGATGATTTTGATTGGTCCTGGAACTGGAGTGGCTCCGTTTAGATCTTTGCTCTTGGAGAGAGCAAAGAAAGAGAAAGAGCTGAAAGAATGCGTCCTGTTCTTTGGATGCAGGAACGAGAATAAGGATTACCATTGTAGGGGGGATTTTGAACGTTTATCGAGGGAGAATAATCTGAAAGTGTTCTGCGCGTTTTCCAGAGACCAGGATCATAAAACGTGAGTAATAAGATAATTTACTTTAGAATTATAATTTTCCATCTGATACCCAAAGAAGTGTTTGACGTTCTCCTACGTATAATGCGAACACAAGCTCTTAACATCTGTCGTCGGTTTTTAGAATTTTATCTTTGTAATAAACTGCTATTTCATATATAATCGTTACATAGAGACGTGTATTATATACTCTCTGCTACATTTTATAAAATGACTGCACCACAATTCTTTATAACAACCTGTGTTGGCTCCTATTAATTTGTTCGTTTTTAATTATAACTTTTACCCCACAAATACGAAATTAACTTAAAGTTTAATATTAGTTTTTTAATTAATTATGATAATATAAATAAAAATAATAGAATATGTATATTCAATCTTAATTTTTTTAAATTATGCCTTTAACTTTTTTCCAGATATGTGCAACATCTTATCCGTCAACGGAGGGAGCTATGCTGGCAATTTTTAGAAAACAGTGGTAGTATTTATCTAGCGGGAAATTCTAAAAATATGCCGGACAATGTGCGCGACGAATTTGTTAGTGTAGCGAAAGAAGTCGGTAAAATGACGAAAGAGCAAGCAGAAACGTTTGTTAAGCATTTAGAGAAGAGCAATCGATACCAAACGGAAACTTGGGGTTGACAAAACAATCGTAGAGGCTTGGGGAAAATATTTAACAGGTAAAAATAATGTTTTGTAAAGAAATATATATATTTAAATATTAATGTATAGTTATTTTTAAATTGTTACAATATTAATTAACTTTATGTCTGTTATTTTCCAATTAGTGAGATTTGGAACAACTTTTGATAATTACAGGGTGTCTATGTAAATTTTGTGTGTAACAATACACAAAAATTTTCACTAACTGGAACACTATTGCAACAGCATATTCCTGAGACCAAATCAAGTCAAAAGGTCCTGTACTACTTTTCCCTCCAACAAACAGTTATCGAGATATAAGCTAAACATTGAAAAAGTTATAAATTTTCTCTTGAATATCTCCAAAAGTATTAGGCGAAATCGAAAAATGTTTCGGACACAAGTTGTTCATATTAATTAATAGTATAAGACAGTATAATAAACAATAGGGGGTTCTATTTAAAAAATAGAAGGTGACCTCCACGTGACCTTCAAATGACTATCCAAGGTCAGGTCAATGGCACCACCTTATGTCTCCCTTCGAACCAAACAACTTTTGTTTGAAACGGTTTTCCGTATCTTTCATATTTTTGGAGATATTTGCGTGGATCATTTAAAATGAGACACCCTGTATATAGAAAAGATTACACCTCGCCTTTTATTTTTTCATTTCAATATACATACATGTGTGCTACGCAGATCGAGGGAAATTTTGAATAATTTTTATTTAAAACTACATGAAAGTTACATGGAGTTTCTGAAATATATCGCTTTAAAGTGTTGCGATTTTATTCTTTATATTATATATCGGGTTGTTATTATTTTAACACATCACTTGTGTTGTTCTTTTCTACTTTTCTTATTTTTTCAACATAGACTCTTACATAGACATAGTTTCTCCGCGTACGTACGATATGATAAACATTCGGAGTATAATCTAAACTTAGAAAATAATAAATCATAAAGTTATGCAACAGTTTGCGCAAGCTAGGCAAGAAGTTTCATCAAACATTCGATATCTATAAAGCATGAAGAATCTAATTAATGCTCGAAATATATACGCTGCCAATCGTGCTAGATGTAATTACGTAACATTTTTTTTACAGCGCTGTTTTATTGCTTTATCGGTTTACCACGGTTGTTTAAATAATCACGAGGTCACCTCCCGTATAATTATTCGGTCTATCCATACAGCCGCGCGTGTTGAAAGGAAATCGACCAATCGCCTGTCCAGAGCGAACGATGTCGCGGCGTTACGCTCGCTGTGTTACACGCCTGATTGGTCGGTTTCTCTCCGCGTGTAAACCGCGCCGCGGCGCAAGCACGTTTGAATGGACCCTAAAAGAAGCGAGGCTCGTAATTATCGATGCCGCTATCGAGCGCTCGTTCGTTTTAGCCGCGCTTCCTGCATTCGGAGTGAAAGACATCGGTGACTCCGCAGGGGGAAAAGAGACGAGAGGAACGCGGTTGAAATCACGAAGCGGGCGTAAACAGGTGTAACGTCACGCCTCATCGAGCGCGCTTTAATCGCGCATCATTTATTAATATCGGCGGCCGCGCGTTCGCCGGGCAATCGCCGACCGGCGGCCGTCCGGCGCGGGTGTGAGTATCCGTTCACGACCTCCTTTTCGTCCGCGTCGCGGATCGAAACGAACGGACCCGTCGCACGCTATTTTTACGCCTACTTTTCGAACGTCGGCACCTCGCGCGAGCGTTCGGCGCGCACAGTCTTCTATACACTACTAGACTGCCACTTTCGAGGTGAAAAAGTGAGGCAAGAGTTCCGCCATGTCTTGTTAGGTAAATAAAGTAGTAGGTCTACTCCATAGACATATTTGTCGGCCCTTTTGATCCTCGCGGTCCCAGACACGTGGTAATCCGCCATGCGCTCGGGCAGGATTCAACGATGTGTGTGTGTGTGTGCGTGTGCGTGTATTTGTACTCGTCAAAGCCACACTACCCCATATACAACTTTTCTCTCATTGGTCTGCCCAGAACAATGTCGGATACGCAGAAGGGATCACAGACATCTTTCGTTTTACGTCGATCCTTTCTGCGCATCCGCCATTGGCCGCGTTCAGCAGACACAACTGTTGAGTGAGCGCTCAGTATGGGTGCTTTCCAATTGCAATATCCCTAGACACTTTCGTGCACACGGCGACACAAATGGCGTTCCAATTGTCACAAATGTCGACACACCTCTACACATTCGTACTCAGCCTGAGGGCTACTAGTCGGCTGTGTAAACTTGTGTTTTCTAGTGACAAATAATAGTTACTAAGTACGGCGGCTACAAGTGGTCGGCATATTCCTTCGCTACGACGGTTTACTATGAAAAAAAGAAGTGAGGTTACGTCTGATATCATTGAGGTAATAAATATTTTGAATCAACATTAGGTGACGCAGTTTCGATCACCACCATGGATTAAAAATACCAAGCATGGATAGTATACTACTTTGTGTACTATTTGTGGTATATTTTGTTCCAATTGAGTCGTGCACATCGCGACACTTTGTGTCTTCTTGTGTACGTTTGTGTTAAAAAGTGTAAAATAATTGGAAAGCACCCTATGATTGGTTAATACTTTTAGATCCAGTCAATCATA